AATTGAGAAAGAGAAAGTTGAATTGTTGAAAAATGAACTCTAATGTACATTAATTGTTCAGATAATGATTCATTTAAAGTTGAAATTTTATTAATACATTGCTGTTCAATCTATTATAAATATATCATATCTGATTTAATGCTGAGTCTATTATCTGATCGTTGATGTTTAATTTGATGTTTACTTTTAATTTTCATGTAATATAGTGTGCTAAATTCTCTGTGTATTTGTTGAAAATTAAGAGTTGCTCTCTCAAAAACATTTTGTAGAATGTGAATGAAAAAGAAATGATAAATAAATGTACTGATTTCAATAAATCATCATTACAATTTAATCATCTATAATGTTTGCTGCTGAAGAATGTTTCACAGATTTAGATTATCATTCATTGTATTTAAATACAATAAATGATTATAGATTTATTGATAGCTCATCTCAGTCTCTAAAAATATATAATTTTGAGATTATATTCATAAATACTTGAGTCTTTTTCAAATATTATTCACAATATTGCAGTATTAAACTTTATCAAACTTCTTTATAAACATTATTTACAATGTTACAGCTTTGTAGACACTTGAATCTTTTTATAAACAAAATTAATTGTCACAGATATTTAAATATGACAATTTATATATTTAATAATAGACATTCAAATCTTCTAATATAATGACACATTTAACTATAAAAATTAATAATGAAATATTCAAATCTTAAATATAAAAAAATCAAGTTGTAATATAAAAAATGTATTTTGACTCTGATCTGTTGCAATGAATGCAAATTTCTCAGATGATTCAGTAACTTCTCATCTGAAAAGATCAGATATTTTTGACCATTCCATGTTCACATAAGGGGTTCAATTTATAGCATCTGCAGGGGTGGTTGATATAGTGAATACAGTGATAGATGTAAAGTTCTGCTTATGATTATTACAGCTTCTTTGTACAGCATTAAAACATGTGAGGTTGTTGTTGAGTTGATGCAAGTGGGTACAGTAATTGTGGTAATGTGAAGATATAAAATATGAGATGCAGAGTTTAAACAGTTCAAAGTTGATGTGCTGATTCAGAAGATTAATCTTCACAACTATGACGGGTTAGCACCCGTTAGTGGTTAACTTACGCAACCAACCTTAACTTACGCAACCAACCCCTTCTGCCTCACGCTCCGCGCTCGCGTAGTTCCTCACACTCCGCACTCGTGTAGTTCTAACGATTCTTCTGCATAACCCAATGTTCTTCCACTCCATGCTCCACTGCGGGGCAGCTTCTGATATTCTTCCACTCCAATCGCCCCTCTATAAGAACCCTCTTCATACAACCTTTCCTTCTGATCTCTTTTCTCTTTCTTTCTTTAATCAATTCATAATCTGTATTTAGAATAGTGCTAGATTGTTAATCAATGTACACCCATTACATTACAAATTGATTCATCTGTGTCAGCCTGAGTGCCCTATGTTTACAATTGCACCCAGGTGCTCAAGTTAAGAATAAGTTACCACCAAGTCCTCATGAAGCTGTGTTGTTGTGATAACATTCACAAATTCTAAAGTTCTACAAAGCCGCACCACTGTGATAGTGCTGTGAAGAAGCCTGAGCACTTAAGAACTCCACAATCATGTGTCTATGAAGAGGGCAGAGTGTCTACAAAGTATTTCCTCCAAAGAATAAGAACTGAACCTCCTGGTCTCCAAGTTATCAGAATCAAGAACTATGGCCTTGTACAAAAACAAGATGAACTACAAACACCCCTCCATGAGTGAGAACTGAAGCCTTGCTGAAAATAATGCTGAATTTCATAACTTTCTCCAGCAGCAATTCTTGCAGATAGCAGAGCTTCAACAACAATTGAATCATCTGAGCACAAATACATCAGAAAATGCGCAAGCGCCAACACCCTCTGCATACAAAAAAAAAGAACGCCTCCCTCTCTTTGACAAGTTTGCAGAAGAGCTCTCAACCTATCTAGTCTGAAAATGAAAGATAAAAGTCAAGTTCATGACAGATCTCAAAAAAATGTTAAAAAAATTAGAATCTAAAAATTTCAAGAAACCTCACAAAGAACTCCTCAAATCATATAAAAATTTCACAGATGTGTTCAATGAAAAAGCAGCTGAAAAGCTTCCCTCTCATCAGGAACATGGTATATATAGATCATATGATTAAACTCATCAAAAGAGATGATAAGAACTCACAATCACTCTGAAGCTCTCTCTACAGTATATTGTGTGATGAGCTTCTTGTTTTATGAAAAACACTCAATGAATTATTAAATAAAAACTTTATTTAAATTAACAACTTCTCTGCTGCAGCATCTGTATTGTTTGTGAAGAAATTTGAAGAAGATCTACAATTCTGTGTAGATTATCAAGAACTTAATTGAATCACACAGCAGAATCAATACTCTCTTCTATTTATTAATGAAACATTTTAAATGAATAGAAAAAGTAAAATGATTTACAAAGCTTGATATATCAGCAGCCTTCTACAAGATAAGAATCAATGAAGATGATGAGTGATTAACAGCATTTCACATGTATTATGATTTATTCAAATGATCAGTAATCCTTGAACTGGTGAACATTTCAAGTACATTTCAGAAATATACTAATTGAGCTCTATAAGACATGTTGAATGAGATCACATCAGCATATATAAATGATATTTTAATCCTCACAGATCGCTTATTCACTGAATATCACAAGCATGTACAACAAATGCTTACCTGCCTATATAAAGCCGGATTACAGATGAATATTGATAAATGCAACTTTGAAACTAAGTCTATAATTTATCTGAGATTCATCATTGAAGCTGAAAGAGATGTACACATGGATTCTAAGAAAGTGAAAGCAATCCTCAATTGAAAGACATCAGTCTCAATAAAAGGGATTAGAAGCTTTCTAGAGTTTGTCAACTTTTATTAAAAATTCATCAAGAATTTCTCTGATATCATACAATCATTAACAGATTTGATCTGAAAAGATGCTGTATTAAAGCAAACACAGCATTTGAAAAGCTGAAGCATATATTCACAAATGCTTCAATGCTGCAATCATTCAACTCAGACAAACATACAATTTTTGAAACAAACTTCTCTGACTATGTGGTTGGAAGAGTGCTGATGCAATACAATAATGAGAGCATTCTACAATCTTGTGCATTCACTTTAAAGAAAATGACTCCCACTGAATGTAACTACAAAATCTATGATAAAAAACTTTTGATTATCATACAATGTTTAGAAGAATGAAAGTCAGAACTTATGTATGAGTGTTGAAAAGTTCAAAATTATCGCTGATCACAAAATTTAAAATACTTCACAATCATTTATAACTTACTGAGGAGTATATATGCTGATCATTATTTCTTAGCTGATTCTCATTTCACTTGAAGAACAATGAAGACAAGCAGTAGAAGCAAATGAACTCTGACAATAAATTGTTAAAGCTGTACAAATAGAACACTTCAATTCTCTGCAGATATATATTCAAAAACAGACATCTCAGCATGCTTGATCAATGATGATGAATGTCTACACCTTTAAAATAGACAATGGATTTCTGATTCAGAATCTTTATAAACATGAATCATGCAGAAGATTCATGACTTGTCAATGACTGAGTATTCAAATTGTAAGATCATATACAGCATCATAATCTGAGACTTTTGCCGACTGAATATATCAAAAAACATATGGCTGAATGGGTAATGCGGTCACCAGGTAGCGCCTTGGCGTGGGGACTCAAGGCGCGTGGGTTCGAAACCCACAAGGGGACAACATTACATCCAGAGCCAATTTCTCAGCTTCTAAAATAAAGGGATGTGAATTTGTAGGTATCTTCGGGCGGACCTACTACCTGATTTAGCTTATTGTTTCTGGGC